TAAACAAAGCACCTGAACATTTTTTTTTATATTATTATTATTTATTATTAGAGAATTATTATTAGATATAGATATCATTACAAAAACCTATAAGTACTGTAAGATAATGAGTGTATACGATAAAATAAAAATGGCAATCCAATCTAGTACAGAGACAAAATTCCAAACTTGGAATTAAAGAGTAGATATAGTAACTTATGTAATCTGGAATATTTACCAACATATAAATTACCACCTTGTAATAATGAATATGGATAAAAAGTCCGGAATTGCATCAGTGTTGGGCAAATTAATTGTTCTGGCAATTAAAGATTGACAATTAATTAATTGTCAATTGCGAAACAGCAATAAACGCGCAATTAACCGCGGTTCTCGCAACTAACAATTGATGAATGGTTAATTGCGTATATCTACAATTAACAATTAATGAATTTTCAATCTTTTCAATGTTTTTGATTAACAATTAAAACTGACAATTATGATAAATTTATAGTGCATATGGGGGTGGGTTAGAGGGTGCGTTAGGGATGGGTTAGGGGTGGGTTAGAGGTGGGTTAAGGGGTGAGTTAGGGCGTGGGTTAGGGGGTGAGCGAGATAGTCGTTCTTCTTGTTTTGAATCTCTTATAATGGCTAACAATATGACCATTCTTCCACTTAATGCTACACATAATTTTCCCAACTCAACTCCTTCACTTCTTGACTTAATAATTGTGTCATCTTTGAACTTCGTTAGTAAACATGGTCAGTGCGCTGCGGACGCTTTTTCTTATCATGACTTGATTTATCTTTCCTACAAAATCCCAAGGCTAAACCCAAAATTCTTCTGCAGAGAAATTTTCGTGGAATTGATTTGGACTGTTTGCGAAGTGATGCTCGTGAAATTGACTGGGGTAACGTTGTGAATGCTATATCAATAGATAGCAAAGTGTCCGAGTTTAACAACACATTGATGAATCTTTACGATAAACATGCACCAGTACCGCCAGTTAAAATGAAACACCTCCCTGCACCTTGGCTAGACCAGAATGTTAGGACTGCTATGAATAAAAAGCTCACAGCTAAGGCCAGATTTAAGTACAGTCCTACAGACGAGAATAAGCGCATCTATAATGAGCGTCGTAATCACTGCAACAGGTTGTGTAGGGATGGACAACGCCGACATATTCATAGTTCTTTAGAAACTGATGATCCGGCTAAAGTCTGGAAGTTTCTTAGGTCGCTGGGAGTTGGTAAGTACGTCAAGATAGTTTCCCAAAAAATTTAAACCTTGATGCTCTTAATCATCATTTCTCTAATTCCGTTGCCTTCGACGGGTCGACTAAAACATCTACCTTAAATTATTTTTCCACACTTCCAACTGCCGACCATCCTCCGTTTTCTTTAATAGAGTTTACTGATTATGATGTTAAGAAGGGCATAGAATCTATTTCGTCCAATGCTGTTGGCAGTGACCATATTGATCGTAAAAGGTTTTTATTCATAGTTGATGAGATTTTACCTGTGATCCGGTATATTCTTAATTTTTCTATCAGCAGCGGAGAATTTCCTTCCCTTTGGAAGGAAACTCTCATTACTCTTCTTCCCAAAAAAGCTATCTAACTTTTCTGATTTCCGACCTATTTCTATACTTCCCTTTCTATCAAAGCTGCTAGAGCGACTAGTTCATAACCAAATTACTCCTTTTCTCATACGTAACAACCTTCTTAATTCCTTTCAATCCGGCTTCCGACCAGGACACAGCACTGTGACTGCTCTTTTTAGGATCACTGATGACATTAGGTATAGTATGTCGCAACAGCAACTCACTGTAATGTCATTGCTTGATTTCAGCAATGCTTTCAACAACGTTGATTTTGACATTTTGATTGCACTTTTACGCACTCTTAACATATCTCCAACGGTAATCTTTTGGTTTCATAGTTACCTGCATGGGCGTCGGCAGTGTGTTCGCATTGATGAGAGGTTCTCTTGTCGGTGTGACATTAATGCTGGCGTTCCACAGGGCGGCGTTTTATCTCGCTTGCCGCAGGTTATTATAGACAACACCTACATTAAAATTAGTGACAATGTAAAAAATTTAGGTATACTTATTGATAGGCAGCTATCTTGGGCACCTCAATTAGTTGAGACCAGCCGCAAATTGTTTGCGTCTGCCGCATCACTCAGACGGTTACGTAATTTTTTACCTATTGCCACGAAAACTGCGCTTGCCCAAATTTTTCTTCTTCCAATTCTTGATTATGCTGATGCCTGCTATCTGGATTTAACCGAAGAACAGCTCAACAAACTCGAACGTCTACAAAACTTTTGCATCCGTTTCATTTATGATCTGAGGAAATTTGATCATGTTTCCATTTATCGCAATGAGCTGAAGTGGTTACCCATTAGACTTCGCCGGAATGCTCATATTCTTAATCTTCTCTATGGTATCTTATTCATTCCTCACACACCACCTTATCTTAAGGAGCGATTTGAATTCGCCCATCAATCCAACCCCCGACTTCTGCGCTCTTCTTCAACTCACCAACTTAAGATGCCATTGCATACCTCCCAGTATTACGACAAGTCCTTTACTGTTCAGGCTATTCGTATTAGTCGTATTAGTTTGTGGAACGCTTTACCTTTGTCTATTCAACAAGCGAAATCATGGCATTTATTAAAAAATATGGTAAAAGTACACTACCTTAATTTAGTGTGACCTGGACTGCTTAGGTATTTTTATGTTTTGAAATTACGTTTTAGAAATTTTTATATTTATAAGTATAAGAATATATAGTAGTTTACGATATTCATATATATGTATTGGTTTTATTATTTATTTATAAATATATGTATATTTGCATTTATTTATCAATTTTTATCTGTTGATTAGTAATTTTTCATACACCGCCGTCTTTTTCCTGTGAATTATATAATTATTTCCATCCAAAGGTTGTCTGGCAGAAATCGCTTAAAGCGATAAGACCGCCCATTGTACCACCGCTTATTTTTAATTTAATTGTATTGTATTTGTTTCCTTTTTTGGTGTACAATAAAGAATTTTTGTATTGTATTGTATTGTGAGTTAGGGCGTGGGGAAGGGGGTGAGTTCGGGTTTGGGTTGGGGGAGTTAGGGTTTTGGGTTGCGGGGCGTTAGGATTTGGGGGGTTATGGGTGAGTTAGGTGGTGGGTCAGGGTTTGGGTTGTGGGGGTTAGGAGTGAGTTAGGGGGTAGGTTAGGGGGTAAGTTAGGGTCTGGGTTGGGGGGTTAGGGGTGAGTTAGGGGATGGATTGGATGAGTTAGGGGTGGGTTAAGAGGTGGGTTAGGGGTGAGTTAGCGGGTGGATTAGGGGGTGGGTCAGCGGGTGGGTTAGGGTTGGTTTAGGAGGTGAGTCAGTGATTGGGACAGGGGGTGGGTCAGGGGGTGGGTCAGAAGGTGGTTTGGGGGGTGGGTTAGGGCGTGAGTTAGAGTGGTTAGGGTTGAGTTAGGGGTGGGTTAGGTTAGTTAGTTTAGTTGGGGGGCCGGTTGGTGGGCCGGTTGGGGGGCCGGTTGGGGGCCGGCTGGGGGACCGGTTGGGGGCCGGTTGGGGGCCGGTTGGGGGACCGGTTGGAGGGCGGGTGGGGGGCCGGTTAGGGATGAGTTAGGGGTGGATTAGGGGGTGGGTCAGCGGGTGGGTTAGAGGGTGTGTTACGTGGTCGATTAGATGGTCGGTTACGGAATGGATGAGGGGGTGGTTGAGTGGGTTTGAGTAGGTGGGTGAGCGGGTTAGGGGGTGGATCACTAACCCTTGACCGCCTCCCAACCGGCCCCCCCAAACGGCCCCCCAACCGACATCCCTAACCCACCCCCTAACCCATATTCGTAATGACACTTGTATTCGGTACTTTCGATTTTAATTGTTAGTTTTAATTGTTTCTTAGAACAACTAAAAACATTAATTGCAATTAAAATCAATTCAATTGAAATCAATTGCAATTAAAATCAATTGATTTTTTAATCTGATTGAATTTCTGATTGAAATTTAATTGATTAACGCCCAACACTGATTCCCACTATATTGAACGAACTACCTACCATCAGCGGTAGTTAGCAGGATGGAAAACAAAAAAAAATCAATTGAAAACCTCAATAAAACGATATTTCATTCACAGTAATGGGAAAGCGACAGTGACCGACGGCCATAGAAATCAATAAATATAATTACTTAAATAAATCATATAAAACAACTTAAAATCTGCATGTCCTTTTTTTAGACATAGACATACTTTTATTGGCATAATACAACAACACAAAACCACACAAAAAACAGTTTACATACAAATAATTATTTGACATATAATTACAATTAAAATTAAAGTAGACAGTCTGGTATAGTCTGTGTTGCAGCATCATGCCAACACGGAACTGAACTCGGCATGTGCTGCAGTAACAACTCACAGCGCTGGTTTTCAGCAAGCCCGTAGAGCTTGACGCCAGCAATAAAAAAATAAATAAAATAAGCAAAATAAAAAATATATAAATACTGCTACATATTACATTGATTCTTATTATATATTATGATTAATACGTAAACAGACATATATAAAAGCAAGGTAAGACAAATAATGATAATATCAAAATTCCTACATACTAAAACCCAAATATAATGTGATTATTGGGTTATACTCCGTCAGCGAATCTTTTTCAACTTCGAAAATGCAGGAACAACACGGCTACCCACGGGTAAATCGGCCTGGTATGATGTTAATCGTTTTTTAATTTTAATTTTAAAAGAGTAGACCGATTTATTTTTATTGTTTTGAATGCTAAGAATCTCTTTTCTTTATTGTACTGCAATAATGCCATTACAAGTACAATAAAATGTGAGCAACCTTGAGCGTCTCACTTGGGAGCTAAATAATCTTAAAATGTAAAGATTTACTACTTCAGAGCTATGTGTCTTTAAATTGGAAATAAATTTAATTTTTTTTAACACTTATTAACGTGGAATCGGCTTCATATTTTACCACACACTTGTCGTATTAAGTCGATTCGCCGTCGACACGCCCTTTCGATCGTCGATGCGGCTGTTTGGACGTCGTCGTCGCGGCCTCAGCGCCGCCGTTCAGCCAGCATCGTCTCAGATCGGAGTCATTCGATCGTTGATGCGGCCAATCGGACTTCAACGCTGCCGATCGGGCGTCGACGCTGCCGAATTCGCAGGAAGAAGATTCGTTGGACATAGGTCGGCACCTATGTCCAGCCGTGTTGTACGAACCAATGCGAAACGCATAACGACTTTCATTCTTACTTCAAGGACATATAGATTTTTCTCACTAGCTTATTGCGGTTCCGTGTGGATAAGTGTGATGAATTCCTAATTCGAAGTTTTTTTTGGAAATAGACTAAATTGATTTAAAAAATTACGTGTGTGGCTTATGTCAAATATGTGTAGAATTATGTTATTGTAGATTGATGAAATATAATACATGTAAATTAATGCAATAACTGTTTCCTAGCCCATAATAAACAGTATCGTATGTGGGCAATAGATGGCATTGTATTGTATAGAATATTGGTGACAAATAGATGGCGCTATTCACAATTGTATAACGCAATATCAGTTTAATTCCAATGAAAGGCTTATGACGAAATGTAGATCTGTTTTATTGTAGAAACGTGTAAGTAATGTGAGTAATATTACAAAGGTGACATCACGCGACAGGGTACTGTGACATCACACATCACTTTGGAAAAATATGCATTACTCATAACATTACCCATTACATAGACCATGTCGGGGCGCTCTGGGCGTTTCCCAATATGTACTAAATATAGTAAATATCTATATTAATATCGCCACCCAGCAAATTTTCTACGTACTACTTGATGGGACATTGCTAACCGTGCCGTAATGTTACGTAGCGCTGCTGCCAGGTGTCGCTACTAACACCCATTACGCGAAACAGTGCGCGGCGTGATGCAATGATGCAATGAGATGCTAACATCACGCATCATGTTAGCATTACGCGTGATGTTAGCATTACGCGTGATGTTAGCATT